AGTACTGCGTTGTCAGTGAAGGCAAACATGGGTATATGGGTGAATAGATGAGTGGACAGGCTGAATGATTAGGTATGTCTATGAAATAGGGAGTGTATCAAAGAACATATATAGGGTTGGCAGACAATGGTCCTACAAGTTTATGCGAATGACCAGAATTCCCAGGTGTATAGTAGAGCTGACAAGGGGCAAGGTTGTGGTCACTGCTTGGTCACAGCCAGCTACCCAGAGGGACAGAGTATTTGAACCTGCGGGCTTGGGACCATAGTCGCAGGGAACATCAAGCTCAATTGGCATAACATACTACACAAAACATTGTTCCACCTCCTACTTTGGCAACTAGCGACTGGGATCTTAAAAGCTAGCAAGCTGCCATCTAGATGCAATGATGGGTCTCTCCTCGTCCAAAGCAAAGAATGAAGAAAGCCAAAAAGTCATAGAAACAATCAGTCCTAGCGACTGGTACACCATCCGATCTGCAACCTATACGACTATAAGACAAGAAGAACTAGATGGTGCCCAGCAACCGCTGTCATCTACTTGGAAGGGGATCTATGTAGGAGATTCTTGGTAAAGAGGGAGAACAATGTGGACCAAAACCCAAAATCATTTGGAGGGGAAAAAAAGGGGAGGGAGACCAGGTTTGCTGGTCCTATAGAGTCTGGTGGAACCACTGAGACTATGGCCCCTAACTGCCCTTCAGGTCTAGAATTGAACCCATACCTGTGGCTTCCAGCCAAACAAAAGACAGGCATATAAGTTGAACATTTATCTCAAGTAGATATTCTCCTTGGAGAGAACAATCATGTGAGAAAGAAGGGCTGCTTATGCACAGGGAGACAGCTCAGGGGACAGGAGTCCATGGAGGGATGGACACAGGGAAGAGGTAACTATGGGGAGGAAGTGGGAGGGGAGCTGTTGCATTGTGGTAAACTGTGGTCAATGCCATGAGACAAAGTATATGTGAACTGCTATATGGAAAGTGAATTTGCTCTGTAAATCTTCACCCACATCACAATTTAATTAATTAATTAAAAATCAACTGTTAAAAACCCTATGGAGCTGTTTTCCTCTGAAGCACATGGAGATGCCCTGAGTCAGAATCAACCAGACAGTAACCAAGAGGAAGGTCAGTGACGTTGGTAAAGTGGATGGAGAATTCTGCTGAGAGAGTGTTTAATATGCTTTCGAAATGATTTCTCTATATGTACTTTTTAAATTTTCAACATGGGCAACTATTGTTTTGATAACCAGGAACAAACAAACAAAAGGCTACCAGTTGAATAAGAGCTTCAGATAGAATACTTAGGGTGGCTGGCCTAGCAGTAGGCCTGATCCCATTTTGTGACAACGTCCTGCCTCTGCATTACCCAGGAGGTTATGTGCAAGAGCCCTAAAATTAAGGTGTTTTACCAAAGTGAAATGGCCCGTCTGAGCCTGAGTTCAGGCTCCATCTTGACTCATGCTAACTTCTTTAACAATCAGTGATGCTGGTACAGAGTTAAAAGCTTGTGACTAAGAAACTGTTTTCTTTTTGAGCTACGGGAGGGTTCTGACCCAGGAGATCTAAGTACATTGCAAAAGAAATGTTTTTAATGTTCTTAAGGGACTTGACACAAGATCTTTACAGGAGACCCCCCCTCAGCTGCCTTCAGGAAATGTTTAAGATAATTATCTTGTAACAGCCCCATAAAACCGCTTTGTTGTTGCTGTTGTTAGGTGCCGTCATTTCCGACCCATAGCGACCCCATGCACAGCAAAACGAAACACTGCCCGATCCCGCGCCAGCTCCACGATCCCTGCTATACTTGAGGCCATCATCGCAGCCACTGTGTCAATCCATCTTGTTGAAGGCCTCCCCCTCTTTTGTCGACCCTCCATCCTACCAAGCCTGACAATCGCTTTACCTGGCCAAATAACCCACATTCATATTTTCAACCAATCACTGTAAAGATCCCTGCCACCAGTTGTCTTGACTTCTCATCTTACAACTTCCAATCAGAACATTGTAACCTAGTTCCTGGTTTCCACACTATATCTATTCTCAGGATGCAGCCACCCCTTCGATTTGTTTGCCTCATATGGTTTTTATGCTTCCAACAAATATCTTTTTGCAACTTTAATAGTCTAAGAGTTTTACTCTAGGACATAGTCCATAAGTCCATCTTTTTGCCTCTTCCATGAAGCCGTTACCAGCCCCTTCTGGTACCAGATACCCAGCACTGGGCAATGCATTGCTTACTCTTTTGTAGTATTTTTTATGACACAGGCATTTGCTCATCTCCTCCCTTTAGTCCCTTGCAAAGTACATTCAGGGTCTTTCATATATTTTTTGTTGACTTGAACAGAATTGGTGCTCAATGAATTTGTGGAAATGAATTGACCGACGTCCCTCTGCTCTCTCCTCTGCAGCTTTTGCCTGGTGCACACTCCTCCACTCTGCCCTGATTTCATGGAGCCCTTTGGGCCCTGCCCCCTCACTTCAGTGCCTCCACTGAGCCCAACTACCTCAGGCTCATCTCCAACTATGGCACCACTTCATCTAGGCCATGGAGCTAGGGGGCTGGGTCTTAGCCATCACTGCCCTGCGCACCTGCAAGCTGGCCCTAGAAAGGCTCAAGGCCAATGAGGTGAGTGACTGCCTGGCCATCGAGGCCATATACAGCATAGTTGGTGTTCTGGTTTCCTAGTGCTGCTCTGACAAGAATATACCACAAATGGGATGGCCTTAACAAACAGGAGTTTATTCTTACAGTTTGGAGGCTTTAAGTCCAAGTTCAAAGTGCCTCTCCATACTAGGGGCTGGGTGAAAGCCCCTCAACCTTGAGGTCCAACTCTGCCTCCTGCTCCCGGCCCACTGGAGCTAGAGGCATTTCTTCACTCAGACAGCTGCTAGCTACTGAGGCTGAGAAGCCCCAAGGTCGACAAGTAAGAAGGCACAGTCCCGATGTTACCAATCCACATGGCAGACCATTAACTTAAGTCCACTGTAAGTCCCAAGGTCAGCAGAGCAAAGCAGGCTGCTGAGCAATGACACGGCTACACGCAGGGTCCAAATGTGCCATAGGCTAGAGACCATTCTCAAGGCTTCTCCTTAAATACAGAAAGCAGACCACAGTCCCAAAGGCAGCTACTCAGCTGCTTGTGGTAGGTCCCACCATGGAGCTGATTGCCAGTCTCATCATGGGGAATAGTTACCACCATCTGCCCACCACGCAACCAGGCCCAGCCAAGTTGACACAAACTTAACTACCACAGTTGGTGTTCTGGTTTCCTAGTGTTGCTCTGACAAGAATATACCACAAATGGGATGGCCTTAACAAACAGGAGTTTATTCTTACAATTTGGAGGCTTTAAGTCCAAGTTCAAAGTGCCAGGCTCTAGGGGCTGGGTAAAAGCCCCTCAACCTTGGGGTCCAGCTCTGCCTCCTGCTCCCGGCCCACTTGAGCTAGAGGCATTTCTTCACTCAGACAGCTGCTGGCTGCTGAGGCTGAGAAGCCCCAAGGTTGACAAGTAAAAGGGTACAGTCCCAATGTTACCAAACCACATAGCAGGCCATTAACTTAAGTCCATTGTAAGTCCCAAGGTTGGCAGAGCAAAGCAGACTGCTGAGCAATGACACGGCTACATGCAGGGTCCAAGCGTGCCATAGGCCAGAGACCATTCCCAAAGCTACTTCTTATAAATAGGAAGCAGACCACATACCCAAAGCAGCTACTCAGCTGCTTGTGGTAGATCCCACCATGGAGTTGATTGCCAGTCTCATCATGAAGAGTAACTACCACCAGCTGCCCAGCCACTTAACCAGGCCCAGACAAGTTGACACACAAACTGAACTACCACAGTTGGCAATGCCAATTTCTCAAAGGAACTCTAGGCCTGTGAGGAAGAAAAGCAACAACACAAGATCATGGCCTCCTTCCACCAGGGCTACAGAGAATGCTATTCAGAAGTGGTTGTGGGCCACTACCTCCATGCATGACCTGCTGTTCGGGAAACAGACTGGGCCCAAGCAGTTCTCCACCTGGGTGATCTCACTGCAGGACAGCCCTGGCCTGGTGGACTATACCCTGGAGCCTCTTCATGTGCTCCTGGGGGGCCGTGACCCATGACGGGAGGCACTGAGGCGGGCCGTGAGCAAGTACATGAGGGACAGGGCACGGTGGAACAATGCAGCCAGCCCTGCCCCCCGGGACAGTGGAAGAACCCCTATGACCCATGCCAGTGTGTGTGCCATGGCTTGATGGTCACCAACCAGGACTGCTGTCCTTGGCAGAGAGGCCTGGCCCGGCTGGACATAGTCATCAGCCAAGCGTGCAATTTGTGGGGAGACAGTGTCACTGCCACAGACGCTGACGTGAAGGTCATCTTTGGTGACCAGGAGCTGAAGACAGGCACCCTATGGAACAATAACAACCCCAGGTGGATGACAGAGATGGGCTTTGGGGAGGTGCTCCTGTCCATGATGGGACCCCTGAGGGTACAGGTCTGTCACACAGACTGTGGCTGGGATGACCTCCTCGGCTCTTGTGACCGAAAGCTTACTGCCCAGAAATCAGAGATCAAAGACATCTGTTATTTTAGTGAAGGGTCTCTGGAGTTCACCAACAAGGTGACTTGTGTCCTGTACCTGAGAGGACCCGGGTGCCTGCAGTACAGCCCTCAGGGAGTCATGGGGAGCTCCTGGGGAGCTGCAGAGGTGCTGTGCGGTGAGGGCTGGTGGCTCATCTCACCTGCCCAAGGCCTTGACTACTGGCTTCTCTAAGAGCCGCTGGGGGTGCTTGGGTCCCCAGGAAGCTGCAAAGAAGGTGCAAAGCTGCTCTTAGGATCTGTGTCCTGGGAGAGAGAGAAACAAGGTGGCTGTCATTTAGGAGGAGGGTGGGTGCCGGGGCAGACCAAGGGCTACTGGGAACAGACCCTTCCCCCTTTTCATAAGGCATTTGACTGCTAACCAGAAGGCTAGTGATTTAAACCTGCCAGCCCCTCCTCAGAAGGAAGATTGGGCAATCTACTTCCACAGAGATACCGCTTCGGAAACCCAAGGAGGGGTCGCTAAGAGTCGGACTCGATTAGACAGCAGTGAATTTTGTTTTGTTTTGTTTTTTAGGTGCTTTCTGAAATGGCTGTAAAATGCATTCACAACCATTTATAAAATTCTCTGACACTGGGCACTGAGATCTGAGGGCCTGGTTCCTAGTGCTGCTGGGCGCTGAAAATAATGACAGCCCATTGCAAAGCCTGAGCATTCTGGAATGTGGGCTTTGGGCTGTTCCTGGCCCTGCCTGTCTTCTCAGAGTCCCTTGCTGACAGGGAGCCAAAGAACTTCAATGAACTTCATTTTGCTTTAATCCAAAATCTCCTCGGACCACGTATTCGCTCTTCCTGTCCTGGACTGGGATGTTCCAGCCTCCTTACCTCTGTCTCCCTCTCCTTCCTCTCCTGCAAGTCCTAATAAACCTCTCCAAGGGTTTTTTTTTTATGGAAAAAATAAAAAGTCCCTCGGAAATCAACAGAAGCTTCTCTGGGGTTGTAAGGAACAACAAATATGACTGTCTTGAATCCATTTCTTTCTCTCTTTCTTTTTTTCCTTGGAATTTTATTTTGTTATTGTTGAGAATATGCACAGCAAAACATATACCAATTCTTTACTCTGTAAATCTTCACCCAAATCCTAATAAAAATAAAAATTAAAAAAAAACCTGATTAAAAAAAAAAAACATATACCAATTCAACAGTTTCTACATCTTTTTTGAGTTGTTGCTCCCTCATTAACATAAACGTACTGCCCTCTAAGGTTCTTATCTAGTCTTTTGAGTTGCTGTTGTCAATATGAACCCATATAGACAGTATTTAAAAGACCGTAATGCTCAATGCAGATCTTTTTCAATAGTTAAGGTAAACTATTATTTGGTTTTAAAACATTAGGGGATTTTTTTTTTTAATTTTAAGAGCTTGTTTTACATTCAACGTAATGCGTACATTTAGTTTCATTCCCCATTTACCATGTCCAACCCTAACTTAGTCTCCTCTCCTCCCTACCTTGTAACCCTCCCCCTGTGCCCCTCATATTTATGCACTCCTGTTTGTCCTGCATTTCCTTAATTTGAATGTTGGTCCTCTGATGTCCTGTGGTCTATTGCTCTAAGGGATGTATTACCATTGAGTGTGTGAGTGTGGCATCCTGGACTGAGTGGTCTGCATGTACATCTTATTAACTATTGGGCTGAGAGCCAGCCCCTGGAGGTGCATTTTATTCCAGGTGCAGAATGTATTCCAGGGCCATAGTATTGGGGGTCTCACCAGATTTCATCTGACCAGTAATTCTGGTCATTATTGAG